TTATAGCAGCTATTTCGGAGATCACCACATCTCCTCAACAGACTTCTTTTTTTATTAAAAGCTTTTATTTAACTTGGTCATCCCGCGGGAATCGCGGAAATTTCCAATCGATTTTAAACTAACTTCCCGACAAGGTAGAGACTTGAAATTTTCAGCATAGTCCCAATCACGATGACAATGCAATTTAATATATTAATGAATTCCCCATATGGTCCAGGGGTCTTGATTCATAGGCGGTCAAAAAATAGTAAGATTTATGGCTAACAGAGCGTAATTTGGCAAAGAACGTAAAACCACTATAAAATTGCTAAAGCTGCCGGCGATAGTGTAGCAAAGCTATTTGTGGCAAATTCAAGATATCAACCTAGTTTAGATATGAACCTCGTTGTAGGAATTAGAAGACTCCAGATGTCGCCCCGCCAGAAGAAGTTAAATATTGGGCCTAAATATACGCCATTTACATATACTACAGCGGAAATGGACGGCACGCCATTTCTTTAAGTTAAATTAACAGCTGGTATATGTACATATGTATGTTAATACAAAACATAAGCGAATTCAGCGTACATGCATAATTGGTTAGGTATGTATGCAGATATTTAAATGCCGGTTTGCTATTCGCGCGACAAGCTTTTTTAAAAACGAAGTAAATTAGTACAAATTGTTAGTAATATTCATTAGAGTTTGAATAACTCCATTCACTAAATGGCTTTTAGTAACATTAATGAGACTTTAACTAATTTTATTTCATTCATTTTAGTGCAGTTTTGACAAAATTTTCTTGCTAAAAAATCTTTTGTTACACTACTTTATTTTATTCCTTTGATTGTACATGTTAAATAAAAGCTTGCTTTTAAAAAATATTTTTTTTACATTATTTTATTTCTAGACTTCATTGTTTCATTATTTTTAACTTACTTAAGCGACGTAAAAGCTTTTCCAAACAAAAAACAATTAAACGACAAAAACAAAAACAGTTTTAATTCACCAAAACAAGATTTAAGATACTCTTATTTTCCGCAAAGAGATCATTGTGAAAATTAATTTTGAGTCAATAAGCTTAAGTAGTTACTAAAATATCGTAAAGTAAGTTATGTATTTCTGCGAACTTTAACTATTTATCTTTCATTCTGAGCATTTTGATACTTATATATCCATATGTCTATATCTATCTCGATTCATGTAGGCTGTTACAAACCCCTGTCATGTGAAAAAAGTTATAAAAAGTATACTTATTAGTCCAAAATAAAACAAAATATATATACATATGTATCTACACATAGGTCTCTTTTTATGCGTTTTTTTTTACGCGGATTTAAATTTATTCGGTTTTCCAAACCACTTCTTCGCTGTACCGATTTTGCTTTTTTGAGAGTTGTTGTTACTTTTTTTCAGTGTGTAAGAGACAATGCTTCTGATAATTAATTTGTCTTTGTATTCTTACATAATTAATGTATTTATTGTGGCACTTTTTTGTTTTTGGTTAAAATGCATACACAATTTTATTTATTTCATTAATGTTCAGTTTTACATGGAATAATAAGGGTTTAAGTGAAGAAATAAATTGCTTTGTTTTGCTTAGTATTGCCTGACTGGATATTTTGTATGCGGTTTTTTAGAATTTTTTACATGAAGTATCTAAATTTATACGTTATATTCTGGAACGCATCCCCTGTTTTTGTATGAAAGTAAAGAACTTTTTTATGCGGCTTTCTGAGGAACGCATATACAGCATAAAAAGGCCTAAGTGTACATATCGTTGTACATCGTTGATCGTACGAATGCTTTAACACTTAAGGTGATTTTGTTTCTTCAAAAAAAATGTTGCCCTTCCGCGGTGTAAAATGTGTTTGATGTCACACTCAATCCTGTAAAAAGGCATGTTTTTGCCTTCTTGTCCTTGCCTAGCTCACGCATTTCATAATATTGTCGTTTTAAACAACTATCTGATTTTCAAGGCACCCATTCCCCTGACAAAGCATCACAGGGCAGAGAATGTGCATTTTTTGCCTTGCAAGAGTGTGACATTTTAAGAAACGAACACAAAATTTGTTCACTCTTTGCCTTTAATTTAGAATCGAAAACGAAACGAGAAAGGGACAATCAAAAGGCGAAGTTTTTGGTAGCAACGAAATCACCATTAGTTCACTACGGAAAACATTGATTAAATACTAAGCGCCAGACAACAAGTGATTTCATTTCGCTTTCGCATCCAAGGACAAAAAGCTGCAAACATCAAACATATGCAAATTTATGTACCAACCCAAATAACCATGAATAGCTCAACAGAAAATCATCAACAAAATACAATAACAACTCCTGCAAGCATACATACTAGGGATGTTAATTTTTTCAATTTTCGGGACGACGTTCATACTAATCTCGGGATTTAGATATTCATTATTTTTCAACAACTTAACATACAAAAATTGCATCAATATAGTTTGAGAAGCTGTCCTACCATATAATAAATAATACATACATGGTTTTGAAATCTACTTTATTATTTAAGTTGAAAAATATTTGATTAGTAACAAAACAAACGACAGTAATTAAATTTATACGCATTTAACAATACTTAAGCTTGAACCTATCTGATAAAGTAACTTAAGGCATGTCAAACAAAGCTCGATGCAAAAAAAAACTTAAGTCAATATATGTATTGTGTGGCTGAAAGTACACGGTGTCCTTGAACCAAATCCAACTGAGTTGGTCTCGAACGATGGAATTTCAAATTATACTACTTTGGGGGGACGTTACCAAGTCAGAATATGTGAAGTTTGAAATCGTAGCAAGTTCCGATTTCAAAAACTGTAATCTTTTCGAATTTCAGCCGACTTTTTCACATTTAGTTATAGTTTTTTTCAAAATTTTGCAGAAATATTCCTAGAGCATCTAGATGCATTTGTGCATCAAAAAGAAGATTTTGAAAAAAAATGTCGCTTAGGTTATTTTGGCGGTTAGGGCTAGATATGTACATATATATGTTACCGGCCAAACCCGATCTTAGGACAAATTAGTTTTACCTGGGCGAAACTAAAGGGTGAACACACCAAAACTGCGACACTTTGGGAAGCTTATAACTTACCCAAAAAGATTTCAATATTTCGAAATTCAAATATCATAAGTTGACCATGACCTTAGTTGGACGTAGAAGAAATTTCATTTGAATTTGATTCCTAGTTAAGTTAAAAATGGCAACCGAGTTAGAAACGAGACAAACCATTTTGCACGAGTTTATAAATGATCCGGCCTTAAGTACACGTAAAATTGCTAAAAACTTAAGATTGCACTATTCGACAGTTTGCAGGGTTTTTTTTATCGGTACAAATAAGGCCTGGCAGTTACGAGAAAACCAGGGAGCGGGGGTTAGCATGGTCAAAGTGATAAAAACAGTGCTCGGAAGGTCCTCAGTGCGTTTTCGCGAGATCCGAAGGTTTTGTCGCGTTATGTTGCAAAATCCGTACGGAGATCGCAGTTTTTCGTACAAAAGGTAAAGCGGAAAGCTTCATTGAGATGTTCTACAGCTCAAACAGCGCCAGACCGAAGCGCAAAGTAGAATGTTACATCGAAATCCTATATTCGGAAGTTGTATTAATTCTAAATTAAAAAATACAACTGCATTGTTATGCACTACGAAACCTACTGCTTTAAAAATTCAAACTGTATTGCAGGTCAAGATTTGTATACTGCTGCAAGTCGTCAATATGCCCCTGAAAGTTGTAAGCTGAAAATGGAGTCCAAATTTCCAAGCCCTTTTTTCCCATCCGGGACAATGAAAGCGTCTTCCGTCAGTTATCAACATATAAGGTAGTAAGCCACTGTTCTAGGCGGACATGGCAAGTTGCCACTATGCCAAGGACACATTGCCGTGGTATAATGCAAATAACATCATTTTTGTACCTCACGACTGAAATCCACCCAATAGCCCAGAGCTACGTCCTATTGGGGGATATTGGTCAATTGTGAAAAGAATCTTGAAAAAAACAGGTTAAACAGTAAAAAATATTGAAGAGTGCAAAACAAAGTAGTTGTGCGCATCGCGTAAAGTCGATGATGCAGTCGTGCAGAACATGATGGCGCGTGTGCGACGAAAATACCGATCACTTGCATATGGAGCAAATAATAACTAATATTTTAACATTTTAATAACATATAAACTTCCAATTTATATAACACAAAAAAATAATTTCAAAGCCTTCTAGTTTGTTTCTGGCAGTAATCTCTAAGTGTCGCAGTTGGAATTTGATCGCTATTGCGACAGAACCTGTTGAAGGGTAATCCAATCCTTTCGGCATGCACCCCAGCGGGCGAGTAAAGTATGCACACTGCAGTAAGTTTGTAGGTATCGTCTTTGCTCATTCTTAAGAGAGGTTTGGTTTTAAACCCAGAACTGCCGGGTAATCCTGTACGATCTTGTACGGTTCCACCTCTGCTTGGCCTTCGAGTGATAAATTTCGTTAATTGTTACTTTTATCTTCATGAGTGAGGCGCCCATGTCCACCGTGTAGGACACATTCAGTACAGAACCACACCTTGTTAATTCTTCCGCTGTCTCGTTAATATAAATGTCCCTTTGTCCCAGCACCCATATTTGGGTAATTTCGTATTGATCAGATATATACGCCAGTTGTCTCCTACAGTCTTCCACTAATTGAGATCTAACAGAGGTAGAAGAGAGTGTCTCAAAGCCAATATTTTTGTCAAGGGGAATTTTTTGTCAAGAGATTTCACACTAAACTTAAATGGTTGTAATCATAAAAAGTAAAAATATGCAAAAGCCACATGCATTTATTGTAAAATATACTAAAAATATGTACAAGTATGCAAAATCGGGTATTTTTTGCTATATGCAAAATGATGCATTCACTGCAAAATATGCACTAACGATTGAGTGCCATTTTAAAAGAAATTTCATGATTCGTAAAGATAATTTAACCATTTCCATTTGAAGATGCCCAATAAAAACATGCATTTGCATAAGATTCCGAGCCTTAGCTATGACTTTTTGTATTTCAGCGACGATGTGAATTAGACCCTTTCCATACTATGCTAACGATAAATCTTTGTTTATTAATTATTATTGTTTTCAATAGTCCGGTGTTTGCGAGTGTAACACACAGATGATATTCATTGCCTTCTTATCATGTCAACGTTGTCACCAGAAGAAGTAAGTTTTTATGATAGCTGTCATGAAACCGAAGTCCAAGAAACTGCAGCATTGAAAACAGCCCGAAAACGGAAATTGAAACCTTCAAAGGCAGCAAATCAATCTAAAAGTCTTAAACAGGATTTGAAGCAAAAGTGCATTGCCGAAGAATCGACGATAAGCAATAGTTCATCGTTATTTCAATTTGAAAGTTGCAGAGATAAACGAAGTTTTCCTTCTTCTCTTGGTATTCCTCGAAATAATGATCGGCCGGCTAATGCGAAATCAGTCTCCTATAGAAGCATGCTGCAACCTGTATCTATGGAGGTAGAAATATCGCAGATTACACACAATAAAACAGATTCCAGCGTAACAGTACGTGAAACAGATGTACCCAAGTTCGTGGGATCTTCAACCTCTGACGACGAGGATTGCATTCCAGAATCTCCAAAGCGACAAGAAAGGGCAGATCTGCGCACTATATTTTCCCGATGTTTTCATTCAACTTATGTACCATTGGAACCTTCAGCGAGCAGCCAAATATATGCTACCGCTTCGGATACGGAAGATTGAAAAACAAACATTTTTAAATTAATTTCTTTATGGAGTTTTATTCTTCTATATAAAATTACAGGTTAATAGTTGGTAAAAAGTTCGTGGTGAAGACATTACTGTTTTTTTTCATGCAGCTGCTTTATATTCATTTTTGAATCTTTTAACGAACATAAAACTGATTGCATAGTAACCTGAAAGAAATATATATGTAAATAGAAGTAACCACTGGTGTTAACAAGTTTAAACGTTAAGGCTGCTCATCTAAAGAGTAAAAACCCGTATAAAATTCATAAACCCTATAAAAAGTCTGTACATTAATAAAAGGGTTCGAAATTGTGGCTAGTTAGCTTTTACTGTCGTTCAGTAACCGAAAAACTCTGTAAAGTAACGCAAAAACGAGAGCGGTAATTTACGTTCTTATCTGTTTAAAGTTTCCCAATATTTAAATTAATTTTAGTACAGTCAATCTGGTATTGGAGGTCCTGGGAATTCTACTGATACAGGATGCGTGAACCTACAGGGGTCAGGTGAGGGGCCTCAATCACAACAGCAATATCGTTACTTGGGACCTCTCCTGTGAGAGGCCCAGAGCTAAAGAGTAATATTAATTATTTCTGCATTACAGAGTTTCTTACACAGGATCTGGTATCGGTCCAGGCTACTCTAACAGTGAATGGTAAGGAGATGGAGGTACAGCAGCTTTTAGAATACTGCCACAGGACACGACTTGGATGCGATGCACAACATGAAGTGGGGCAGCTCGAACACAAACCGTAGGGGTGAGTGCCTTCTGGAATATATAATTAGCGAAGACCTGTGCTTTCACCATGTTGGAAATGAACCAACGTGCATCACTACGATCAGAGAGGAATTACAATACATTACCCTCAGCAGCAGAATGGCCAGTCCTCTGATTGATCAGTGGCGGGGCTCAGTGAGCCCTCACTGTCTGATCATAGGATTATCTGATTTACACTGGGAGCAGACGTTCGAACAGGTTACCCCAAGAAAAACCCCATGAAAACAGACTGGATTAAGTACGAGGAAGTACTAAGACTATGTTCAAACAGGCACCTAATTGACAATTAAGAATCTTCTCCTTATTATTATTAATTAATTATTACCCAATTTATCATACAAAATTTCAAATTGGCAATTAATTTGTGTCAGATTCTAAATGCAACCCTGGTAGGTATGTTTAATTTTGACTTGGAGGTATGTTTATTAAAACAAAGGGCAGTTAGCTGTTTGTTTCTGGTCTCCTTTTACAGCTGATATTCCATCAGGTATGGAAAAGTGAATTATAAAATTTTACCTAATTTACGGAAAACTTTACCTAAAAGTAGACAGATGTACCTAAAGAGTAAATATCGTCGATGTTTTTGCAAAACCGCCTAAATCGCCGTTGTGGCAAAAATGAGATTTGGTAACCCTGAACTCCAGGCATCGAGATTTATGCATAAAAATCGTTAAATCGTTATTAAAACAACAGATTTGTGAAATAATAGCTACAGAATATACCGCCTATCAAGGCAACGCCTTAAAAGAATAAACCGTTTTTTCGCTCTCCTGTAAAATTTGAGTGCCGTAGATAGGCGGTTTTGCAATTGGGCGATGGGCGGTTTTGCAAAAACATCGACGATATGTATTTCTACATAAAAACATAGGAGGATAACAATTCCCATCGATACCATATCAACTTTGGTAATCACATTAAACAAATTTTGGTTATGAAAAGAATCTCTTCGAGCAGCGCGAGACAAAACTATGTTGTAGAAAAGGTGAATCACTTTCCTCCCAGTTCTTCGATGTGATGTTTTAAAAATAAATATTTTCGGTGTATCTAGCGAAATCAATTACAGTTGCGCTATTTGACCACGCTTCTATATCATTTGTATGCCCCTTCACAAAAAAGGGAAGCTATTAGACCAGTTGCCCGCTCTAGAAAAATAAGAACTGATTTCCTGAGAAGTTATTTGGTTACGTTCTACATGTACCTAAAATTGTGTGTTTGTACGGAATGTACTTTCAAACTAAATAAAGGTACGATTGTACAAACTTTTTTCATCATTGTAGGTAATCCAGCAGCTGATTTCGTATCGCTAATTGCGCAGCTGACGTGTGTGTGAACACCAAACTCAATGCCGCAATTTAAAGCTTAATTGCCTCATATAATTGGCATGTTTGAACATAGTCTAAGACTAAGGTTGAACCTAACCAAGTTAGAGGCACAACATAGAAAGGTTGATTGTATGGAGTTAGAGCACAGGGTCAACAGGCTGAATGGCATTATTTTGGATGCCTTTAATTCCAGCTGTCCCATGTCAAGGCCAAAGGGAAAGGGCCAGCCTCCCTGGTGGTCACGCGAACTCTCAGTACTTAGGAAAGAGTGCGGAGACTTTTCAATCGAGAAAAGCGCACCGGGTAATGGGGGTATCTCAGTCTGACAAAATACAATAAGGAGATTAGAAAGGCTAAGCGTAGCAGCTTTAGGACCTTCTGTGAGAACACTGCATCTACTTCTGCAGCTGCTAGGCTTCACAAAGCCTTGGCGAGAGACAAAACAGGGATCAGGTTGGCTATTAGGCTACGTAATGGGACTTTTCAGGTACTGAACAGGAAAGGGCACTCACCTTGCTGTCGGCCCACTTCCCGGACGCCATTCCAACCTCTGGGATACGGGATCTCGTACGAACAGGCCACCTCCATCGGACAGGAAGCTGGCTAATAGCCTGATAAACTGAACGGTACAAGGCTCCCGGTGTGGATGGCGTGTGTCCAGTGTTGCTGAAGCAGGGTGCGGAGCTCCTACTTCCACATCTTGTGGATATTATGAGGAACAGTCTAGCCCACATTCCAGTGGTGTGGCGGGGGCCTGGGTTATCTTTATTCCGAAGGTAGGTAAGAGAATTACTCTCTTGCCAAGTCTTTCAGGCCGCTAAGTTTCATCTCCTTTATGTTGAAGGCTATGGAGAAAATTCTCGACCATAACATCAGGTTTAACACTGCCAAACATTCTCGTTGTGTGGCGGGGCACGGGTTATATTTATCCCGAAAGTAGGTAAGACGGATTACTCTTTTGCCAAGTCTTTCAGGCCGATAAGTCCAACCTCCTTTATGTTAAGGGCTATGGAGAAAATTATCGACCATGCCATCAGATTTAACACTATGAAACACACCCCACGCATTCCACGCGTACAGAGTAGGCAGATCCACGTACACTGCGCTGTAAACTCTGACAGAATAAATACAAGGGGCCTTTGAGTGTGATGAGCCTTATTTGACATCGAGGGGGCCTTCAAGAACGCCTCCCACCTGGGAGTCGGCAGAGCACTTGAGGAACATAATGTTCATCCAATCATCCACAGATGGATAGCAAGGTTGCTTCAGACTAGGATCGCGTCATAGCGTCGTTCAAATACAAACGACGAAAGAGTGTCCAGAAGACGGGTGGAGCTGTGTTGGTGACGAACTGCATATACTCACTAATGAGGGCGTGCGATGCCAAGGATTCGCGGATGATATAGTATAGAGGGAAGTTCGCTAGTACTCTCTGTGACATCATACAAAAAAGAGGACTCAACCTTGCAAAAAAGTGGTGTGGCTTAAATATCAATCCTTCCAAGTCAGACATAGTCCCCTTTACTATAAAAACGAACTCTTCAGGGGATGAGGAACTTGACCTTGGATGGGGTCACGATCAATGTCGCCACAGAGGTTAAGTATCTGCGACTTATCCTGGGCTCTAAGCTTCTGTCGATGACTCATGTTGATGTGGTCACCTCGAAGGCTACGAGAGCGAGGATGGTGTGTAAACGTCTAGCGGGAAAATCCTGGGGGTGCACTCCTAGAGTCTAAAAATGTATGTACACCATGATAGTAACACCAATAGTGTCCTATGGTGCGTTGGCCTGGGTTTCCAGAACTACTCTGGGAACGGTGAGGCCGACTCTCACCACTTACACTATCACCGCATTTTTAGAGTCTCTCTAGGGCTAGTCGAGGTATTGTGATGAGCTAAGGGCACAATAGACCTACCGGTCGTAGTGCCATAACCAATTATCGATCTATAGACGAATTATTTTTAAGCACGAATGTCGAGTTTGTTAACCAGGTTGATTATAAGATAACGATCGATTTTTGACATTTCCTTAGTTCAGTTTGACATTTGTAATCGCAATTCTAAGTATCTTGGCAACAATTTAATCTATTCAGCAATTCAGCTATGAAGTTTTGTCTAAATTCTGGTGTTGCATACTTCACAGGGCAACATTTTGTTACCTGCTTATGAGATGGTAAGAAAATGTACCAGTGAGCGAATGTCAAAAGGGCTGAAAAATTACCTGGAACTTTATCTACCGGTAACAAAATGTATGTTACCAACGCAGAATAGGACTGGAAAAAGGTAAAATAGTAACTCCGGAGACTCGTCGGCCGAACTAGTGCTAACGTAGTATTTTTGTTCAATGGATTTATTACCTGCGATTTCATTAGAAGTTGGTCCGTATTTAAAAGTTGTTTAGATGCAGTGGTTATAAAGCCTTTGACAAATGTAGATGTTCCTTCATATATTGCAACGTTATTTTGGACTAGAAAAAATTATGTTATTAATGGTTGTGTTATGAAAATATAAAAATTAGGGCCGTTTACTCAAGTAGCTTTTAAAATTTTTCTGCCCTTTAAACACAAATTTTGTTCTAAAGAAAAATTTTTTTTATGATATATACGAAATTGTGAGTTATGATTGGGGATATGTACAAACATATGTGCGTTATTTCGAATCACCAATTATAGTTTAAAAAACTAGAACCTCCCTATTATAATAGCCATTCGTACTGTCATCAGGTATGTAACTTGAGAATAGAAATCGCTGCATCTTTTAGGCGCATCAATATTACATAGTTACATCCCGAGCTAATAAAAGGAAGGTAAAAAAGATGAGAGATGCGATCAAATAATGTACATTATTTTTTTAAATACCCCTTATACCATGTTCGCACCGACATCGAAAACATGTTTTCGTTGCTATAACTGGTTTTCGACCTAAAAACTTGTGTTTTCGTCCATGTAAAATCTATCAAACGAAAACCAGTTTTCGCTGAAAAATACTTGAAAACTCACGTTCCACTCATTCCAATCGATGTCTTCACTAGTATTTTAGATATATTTGTCGTCATGATTTATCATCT